GCTCCACCTGCTAGCCTGTACAATAACAGAAAAAAAAGGTAGAGGGAACTTTTAGGCTTGCCTGTTCAATTTTATGAGGTATGTCCATGGATTTCCTTTAAGTTTCCTACTGGAGCTTTAAGAGTTAAAGTTCACACTGACACGACTTTCTTTGTGTAGAAGCGGGTTTTGTTTTTGATGCATTCAAGCTGTGACAAAAAGAGGCTTTTAGGGGAACACAGCTTTCTTATATACCTGCTTTTAACGTTATAGACAGATCTAGAGTTCATTTAGACATACCTCAGTGTTAGTTCTTTCAGTACACCTGATTGAGACCTATACCAAAACGTATTGTAATTCACTCCTGACTGGTCTCCTAGCCTGTACAATAAAACTGTTACAAATGGTCCAGAATGTGGCAGAGCATCTGGTCTTCAATCAGCCCAAAAAGTATCATGTCACCCCTCTGTTCATTGAACTTCACTGGTTACCCCTGGCTGCCGGCATCAAATTCAAGTCCCTGATGCTAGTTTAGAAAGTCCTTAAGGGTACGGATCCTGTTTACTTGAACCCTTTTACTGAGGCTTACGGCACAACTCGGTTACTCCGGTCATCAATGGATTGTCGTCTAGCAGTGCCTACACCACGCTTAAAACAATCCAGACTGTTTTCATGGGTTGTCCCAAGATGGGGGAATGACCTACCAAGCGCTACAACAACAGATTTTGGCAGTTCAGCCAATGTAGTGCTCATAGGTCTCATTGTGGCTTTTTATGCAGTTAACCACACATTTTTTTTAGACCAACTGAGGGATTAGGTCTCAAGGTGGTCTTTTTTCTGTCAGGCTGGGGGACCCCACATTATTGTCTGCCCCCCTTTATTGTGAAGTCCCTCAGGGTTCTATCCTAAGACCTTTATTGTTTGCGATCTACCTTCTCCCTGTCTAAATTTTTACTAAGTATGGTATAGCATATTATTTCTAAGCAGATGATTGTCAAATTTTTTTTTTCCAATTGCTAAAAACAGCCACTGCCCCCTTACACCCCTACTCAACACTTAATGAGATCAAGAGAGAGGTGATAGTGTTTGGCAGCACCATCTCTAACTTGGGACCTTTCAAGGATTTTGTAACTAGTCTTGGTGTAACCAAAGACAGCTATTTTAAACTGGACAAACAAGTAAACAGCTTTTTAAATTGTATTTTTATCATTGCCATCTTTCATCTACGGTGAAACCGTTTTTATCTTTCAATTTCTTTGAATAGGTTTTACACTCTTTTATTTCTTGCCATCTGGACTACTGCAATGCATTTTATTGTGACATTAGCCAACAAGCTCTTTCCCGTCTGCAGTTTCTCTAAAAACAGCCGCTCATCTCTTAACGGGGACCAGAAAACATCAACTCATTACACCAAATCTTGCGTCTCTTCTCTAGCTCCCCGTTCATTTCAGAATTGATTTTTATAATTTATTGTTTATGTTTACAGCTTTGAACAGGAATGCTACTAAATACATTACTGCCCCCGTCCAGATTTACTCTCCAGGAGGTGCTCTGAGTTCTGAGGGCCATCTTCAGCTAAAAGGGCCTAAGATAAGCCATGTAATTGTGTGGTCCTCCGTGTCCTTTTTATCTATTTATGTTAAACTCTTCCTGCTTTTTTGTGTGTATGTTTGGCTGTTTTGTTAGTTTTTTTTTATGTACAGCACATTGGAAACCTTTTGCTGTTAGATTTGCTATAAAAATAAATTCGACTGGATCTGCTGATGAAGGTTCTCAGTCATCCAG